TCTTGGATCATCTTGGATCAAAAGGTAGCAACCATGTTTTGAAAGCAGCAAAACAAAACAGACAGAATTCAGGCCCCGGATCATTGTGGGGCAGCCATATATTCTCCACACTGCTGGGAGAAAAAGTAACTTTTTCTTGCTTAATGCACTATTACTTGTGAGTTCTCTGTTACATCAAGCCTAATGGCAAGGAACCAAGAGGGTGAGGGCAAAGGTACAGAAAGACAGCGTATGCAGCAGACGTTGCCAAGTCTGTATATGCAGAAGTCACCCACAGAATAGATAGCTAACCAGAGACTGGGTGAATCTAGCAAAAAGAAAGAAAAGTGAGCTGAGGGAAAATCCTATGGACACATGTCCATGTCCACACGAGCAGGAGAGGCTCAGCATGGTGAGCCGGCACCAAGAAAGCCCCAGACCACCAAGACCAAGAGATGAGAATTTGCCAACAAGCAGGGGCTTAGTAGAATACAGCTTTGCTGATGAAGAGACCAGGCCCTAGGTAGCAGTGAAAAACTACTAAAATAAAGAAATGGTAGGGCTGGGGATTTAGCTCAGTGGCTCTGCCACTTGCCTCGCAAGCGCAAGGACCAGAGTTCAATCCCTGGTACTGAAAAATAAATAAATAAATAAAAACGGCTAGAAGCAGACTATAGTAAATTTTGCCTTGGAATTCTGATTCCTCTATAAGTGTCCATTATTTATTGTACAAGGTAAAATAAAAATTAAAAAAAGAAACCTCAACAACAAAAACCTCTATAAAAGCCACCGTATTCAGACCAGCAGCATTCAGTCAAAGCCTCAAGGAATAAAGAAGTACCTGCTGAAGTGTACAACATTCCCTTTAACCCAGTTACTTCTCACCTCTTAACTGAGAGGAAATCAAACAAAAACACCTCTTATTTTCAACTGGTTAATCAGGAAACAAATGTGTAGTGAAAACAGGTTCTGAACCATTACATAATGTTGAGAAGTCCAAAAGGCATGTGCGGTAAATCCTTCAGTATTTGTGAGAAGAAATGGGTTTCAAGAACCCATTCCCCAGGACAACAAAATCCCTAGATGCTCAAATCCCTTATGGAAAAGGGTGTAGTTTCTGAATATAACCTACAAGCAAATCACCTGCGGACTACTTAGCCTATCCAAATAAAGGCAGATGCCATGTTAATAGTTATACTGCATTGTTTAGGGAATAATGACAAGAACATGGTCAGTAGGGATTCAGTCATCTTGGACCTAATCACATTTTCTATCCACGACTGGCTGAATGGCAGATGTGGGAATCCAGGGATTTCAACCCACTCTCCCCTGTATTGCGTACTTGTTGACTGTGAAAACCTCAAAAGCAGAAAAAACAAAAACGGCTGTAACAAAAACAACTTTACTAGACTCAGCTGACTTACAGGAATCACAGCCTTGCAGCAAGGCACAGACAACAAGCCCTTATAAAAGTATTTTTCAGGGCTGGGGATTTAGCTTAGTGGTTCCGCTGCCTACCGGCACAAGCCTGAAATCTTAGCACCTTGGGAGGCTGAAGCAAAAGATTTGCAAATGTGAGCCCAGCCTGGGCAAACTGGTGAGAGCCTGACTGGAAAGAGGGGTGGGGGTGGAGGGAGAGGGAGAAAGAAAGAGAGATGTACTGAGAAGGGCCTGGATTCAATCGCCCCCATATGCCCAATTTCCCCCTTATTACCTCAGAGGCTGAGAATGGAGTCTCGCGTGAAGATAGAATTTCATAAGTGTTGACCCAACAGTAATGGCTAACCCAGTAATGAAGGATCCAAAGTATTTGGGTAAAAGTAATTTATTCACATAAGAATCTCTAAACAGGAAGGGGAAAAGGAAAGAAAGAAGAAAGAAAAGAATAAAGCAAAAAAACAAAAAACAACTGAGGAACTTGTTAACTTGATGAAAGAGCTGGAATGAGGTAATAGCTCCTTTCCTTCATATACAGGGTAAAAACATCTTAACAAGAAACTTCTATAAATGGCATATTGCTGAGACCTGCAATAAAGGTCAAAACCTCAGGGGGAGAAAGGCACATACTTGCCTCATGAATTCCCTTTCACCTAATTACATTTAGTCTCTTAACCCACAGGAATTAAGCCTCTTGCTTCTGTTAATTAGAAATCAAATCTGATCATGAAAAACAGACTCTGAACCATTACTTAACACTGTTCCCAGGGTTAATATATGTCCAAAGGGCATGTATTTCCTTCTGGGTGCATGACAGTTACAAAATGGGCCAAAATTAGCTTGATCAATGCCACTTGGGGGAAGAGACTGGCTTTTCCTATTTAACCAATTCTTGTTTTATTTTTTTATTTACCTATTTTTGTTACTTTGAAAAATTCATAGATGGGGAAAAAAGAAAGGAAAATGGCTGAAAGGGATGAAGCCTTATTAGAGTCACCTGATGGAGAGAGGCCATGACCTCCCAATACAGTAAAGGGGGTTAAGAAAGCATTTCCTCCCCTTAACATTTTCATGTGTGGGTACAGATTCTGAGGCAAAAATAATTTCAGGAGTGCTGACCACAGCTCTTCAGCTTTGTTGACCACAGCAAGCTTCTCTTTTGGATAACTTTTTTTTTTTAACCAAGGTTATCAAATTAAGTTTGTGGCTTGCGACCTGCATTTTTTCAAACCAAGAAGTGGGAAGGGAAAATACATTATGCCAAATATATACAGATAGATTTGGTTTTACAAAACTTTGTTACCAATTGCATGTTTGTGTGTACGTTTTCTTGACTTTTTATATAAAACATGAGATTTCTTACTACATGCATTACAGTGAAAAAAAAATAGTAGGAAAGCCATCTTTTTAGAGAAAGTTCTAGTGATCAGCCTACACCTACAAACAGGATTGGCTTTCATCAGAATGGAAGGAAACAGCTGGATAAGCCAGTAATGAAGGATTTAAACTATTAGGTTGGGTAAAAGAAAGTAATTATTTAAATGAGAATCTCTAAGTGAGCTGGGATGAGATGACCTCCCACATAAAATTAGAATCTGAAGGGAGAAAAAAAGAAAGAAAAGTATTAAGAGAAAAAAAAAACAGGAAATCTATAAACATTGGTGAAATATTCAGAAGACCAATGGGAACAGGCAGGGAAGTATATGTTCCAGCATGAAGGGAGTCCTGATTAACTTGAAGTGAATCCTGAGCTTAAGGGTCTGTGGGGTTTTGTTTTTGTTTTTGTTTTTGGTACAGGGAACTTGGGTCCTTGTGCTTTCGAGGCAGGTGGTGGCACCACTGAGCTAAATCCCCAGCCCTCTGTGGGTAGAGGCTTGTAGCAGGCATCAAACTGATAGAACAAGGACAGATAACACCTGTTAAAACAGTTTATAACCCCCATCTTATCCAATCCTCACAACATTATGAGGTAGATGCATTTCTAAGGGTGTCTAGGAATACAGGTTCAATGCTGCAACATTTAAAGTAGTTATCAGAATATTGCTAGTTATAGGTATTAGATTATGGCACATTTTTCTGAAGGTCTTGATGGGTGCAGCTGCCCACGATGAGCCAAGCCATCACAGAATCCTGCTAACTAGTTCCAGTCAGTATACAGATGGCCCTAAGTTCACATGGATTCATATAACTTACTTTTTCCTTTATCAGAACAAACATAATGATTTTATTTTTTCTGGGAAATGTAAGTGAAATTCATCCTATATGAATTTTACCTCTGTAATTTTTTATATTAGTAAACACTACCATTCACACTAAAATACGTATGTATTAATACCAAGGATAAAATCAAATCTGATACCTAGGATTTTAAAAAGTTAATTAAAATGAGTAGATCTCCTTTCAGTCTCTTATTGCTCCAGAACATGTGCTACAAATTCTAACCAAAGATCTTTCTGTTGTGCTTTATATATACTTTTCTAAATTATAATTTCCACGAATCTGATTCTCTGTGGATAGGTGGTGCTTTCCAAGGCGGATGTAGAACTATACTTTATTCCAAGACGTGGAAGGATCAAAGCAAATTTCCTTCATTCATTCATTTTCAAAAAGGCAACACTCATTTCACTTTCAACAATAATACTCTAAGTGCACCACACAAGGATGAGATCCTATAATGAAATAAAGGTAAAAAGTAGTTTTTCTAAAAGGTTGCTTATCAGGCTTACTCTGATAAGAGTCCCCCATGGGAGCACACAGGCCCTGAGGTGTAGAACAGAACAGAAGTAATTTAGCATTTCTGGGAAAGGGACAATTCTCATCTACTCACTACATTAACATTAATGGGGACCCTAATTTTTCATATATATGATATATCATATATCACATATTTATCATATATGGGCGGTGCTAGAGATCTAGCACAGAGCCTCAAGCACGTTAGGCAAGTGTTACACACTAATCAACGTCCCAAGCCCCTTTCTTTATATACATAAGAAAGTTTATGCACAGGTGGTGCATGTGTGCAATCACAGCACTCTGGGAGGCCAGGCTAGAGGGTCACAAATGTAAGCCCAGCCCCGGCAATTTAGCAAGAACTTATCTCAAAATGGAAACAAAGAGGAGGAGGGGGCAGATCAGTCTGAAGGCCCCCCCAGGGGGTTCGATCTCCAGTACCTACGGGGTGGGGCCGACCACTTTGTCTTCTGGTTGCTAACTCGTTCACCACACTCCTCAGGGCAGCCTGCCCTGGAAGTGGGGGCTCAAGGCTGGACCTTGAGTCCAGACCTTTGGAACCCAAAGCTCTTCTGAGAAGCCAAACTGCGTGCAGGCAGAGTTCTGCACAGAGCTGGCATCCACAGACCCTGCTGCAGCCCAGCTCCTCCGCTCAGCCTCTGTCTCCTGACCGGTTGGACCCTGAGCAGAGTTCTCTGCATAGAGGAACCCAGCTGACCCAGGGAGAGGGCCTGGAGGACACCAGTTGCGCGTCTGTATTCTCGGTTTCAACCAGCAGGGGGAGGCAAAGTCCGCAGCCCCCCCAGAGCGGGCTGTGCCGGGCTGCAGGACCAGGGCAGGGAGCAGGTTACCTTATGGCGTTGACCGGCGGGTTTCGGAGGCGGATCAGCGCCAGGGCCTGGGACAGCTGTAGGTACTCAGCCATTGCCTTCTGTTGCTCTGCCAGTCCCCCGGAGACCAGGCCACTTTTCTGGGTGCCAAGGGCCGGCCGAGCGAGGAGCCCTGGCTGGACCACTTTGAGGCAGGCCCTGCTTCCCGGAAACCCACGACCTTTGCACCCCTGCTCCTTTCCTAAGACCCATTCCCGTGCTGTACTGAAACTTTTTATTTCTTCCTCTTGTTTGGTTCCCACTTCCTGCCACCCAGAGCTTCTCACAGAGAATCATGGAAAATGGGAGGAAGTAACTTCCGGCTGTGTGACTCCCTGACCCGGAAGCACTGGCTTCACCGGACAAGTTCTGGGCTCACGGAGTGGGCAAAATGTTCGTCCTCATGATCCATATGGACAGGGACAGGTACCCGGTGCTGCCACAATTATGTCAAATGACGGGAGTGTGAAACACGGACACCCTGCCTTCCATCCAAAGGAGGACGGTGCCAACTGTCAGGCGTAAAGTGCCAGCGTGGACGCCATTTTAAAGGTTAAACTCGCCCTCTTGAGAAGACAACAAAGGCCCAAGGTCACTAAAAAAGTAGCGTTTACTCAGGAAAATGGTCAGGAACATACACCAAGTGTGAATATTCCAGGTAAAACAGATGATTCCTGTAAAGATTAACCATAGCCCTACACTTTGTCATGGAAATGGCATTCCCATAGAGATTAACCACAGCTCTGTACGTTGGCACACCCTCATCCTGTGCAAACTATATGTTCTGCTCCTTTCTTATAACCACCACATTTCGCTTCTGTAATTTTGCTTGCTTCCGCCTCTTCTAGAAACGTATAAAACCCTCTTGTACTCTGGGCTCAGGGTTGTTGCCTGAGGGGCCCTCTGGCCACACTAATAAAGGTCTGTTTAACACCATTCTTGGGTGTGGCTTGTTCGGTTCCTTTGGGATGTTGTCTTGCTGTTGCTGTTGGTAGTTCTTCGAAATGTTTGGTTAAGATCCCTGATGGTCTTACACCAACCTCAAACAAATGTTTAGGAACACGTCCTCTACCGTGGCCTACTGTACACCACAACCTAAAACACCTTTGGGCTCCTTGTCTGCTTAATCCTGCTCTCTTCTTCTATCCCTCCTAATGGCTGAGATTTCTAACACCTCACTCATTAATCCACGAACTGAGCACCCACTCTGCACTGGACATAGACTAGAGACTAAAGACAAACCATGCCCAGCCCCGCTTCTCTCTAAAAGTTCAAGGTTCTTCTAAATGTGCATGGCCACCCATGGTCCCCACAGTCCAGCCAGTGGTCAAAAGGCACTCTGGAAATTTCTAAGAAAAAAAAGATATCTGAAAACTTTCCTCTTGGATGTTTCACAAATTTTAGTCATGAGTAAGGATTCTTTCCATCCATATTCTTTTATCTCCTGAAAATAAAAAAGTTTCCAACAACACTGGGAAAGTACTGACAGCCCTAAGAGGGCCTGGTAACAAGTAGTAGTCAGAACCCACCCCAGAACTGCAAGGATCTCAGTGATCAAAATCAATGTGTCAGAAGCAGCCAAGCTCCATCAGCCCAATGTGTATACCCCTGAGTAGCAACCACCAACAATAGCTTCACGAAAGCAACAGCTTTGCACAGCTAATCCAGATGTCCATCTGATGCTTTGAAAATTGCTATTCCCTGAGCTCCACTGTGCCCAAAAATCTCTCCTTAAGACCCACAGCCAGGTCATGCAAGCGATGAACTGAGCTCTACCTTCCTTCAGGAGCTGGTCTCCTGGGGGAACAAACTGTCACAGTGTCCTAGCAACTTAAACATCGCCACAGAGGTCAGGTAGGCAAGGCAGAACATCTTGGAATAGCCTGAAAGTCCTACTGTTGCAGATGGAGATAAATAACCTGAGCGGTCCTGATGTACTTTCTCGTCTCTATTCTTGTAGGAGTCTGTTGTGCACCACTTCTCATCTATTTCCTGAGTTTCAGTTGGAGGCAGAAATTTCCGCCACTGGCTGTGCCTTGAGTAGAGCTGCAAGCTTCTGTGTGAATCTATAAAACAGCTCAGTGGGTTAGAGTAGGGCAGGGGTCAGGGGGAGGCCCCTGGGGGACAACATTTAAAGGGCTCTCACTCTCAGGTTCATCCAGTTGTACCCCTGCCCTGCTCCTGGGCACCAGGTCAATTCAACGGCCGGGTATCCCCCTGCTTGCGGCAGTGCCATGCGTTTGGGAATACTGGGAACTGACACCATGCTCTTGCAGTCTAAGTACTGAAGTGTCTACCTGTGTGTGGGCTCCTTACTTGCTGCATCCATGAAAAGTGCAACGAGCTTATTTTTACAGAAGGCCTCGCCATTACTCTCTTAATTGTTAGTATGAATGAACTGTTTTCTTAAATCATCTTCTTAGTTGTCGCAATAAATGCTACCTAAGAGGATGCCACTTTTCTTGGCTAAGCACCTCCATGCCATTTGTATATTACTACTTTTGCTTGTTAAATTGATTGTTTTCACTGGTGCCGTTATATTACCACTTCACAAAAGTAGGCCATTTAGAATGGCTCTGAAGTTCACTAAAGCTTACAAGAAAAGTAGTGTAAACACTGTTACTTAGCACACTCCCCAAGGGATTTTAGTAGAAGTACAGAACCTCTGCACACTAGATCACACAAACCCCTATCTATAATCAAATAGATGGCTAAGCAAAACCAGGTCCCTTGCATTAGTGATCTTGTAGTCCTGAAACACAGGGTGTTGTATGTGAAACTTCGCTTGCTAGAGATAGGAAGCCGTCGAAGCTGAGCTTTCTGACTTAAACAAAATAATGCTTTCTCATCTGGGTAATAAAAATCTCTCACGCCCACTCTTCTATATCCCTTCCTCTAGTCACTGTAGGATACAGATGCACATAAGGCCCTGGAATGCAGCAGGGTTGTATGAGTGTGTGGGGGACGGAGACACGAAAAGCTGACTTCTGCAGTGGTATGTGCAGGAGGAGGGGGCTCTCCGATGGCTGCTACAGGAGCAAGACATCAAGGTGGGTCTGCTTGTTAACCTTTCTAACCTGTCCTAGCTAAGACAGCCAGGGAACTGGCAGCAAGCACACCCTTCTACAGTGAAGCTGGCTGACATTTGAGAAAAACAACTGCTCTGAGAAATATTTGAGATGAGAAATGGGACTAAAAAAAAAGAACTCTTTCGGTATAACCAACGGTATCAGGAGAGACAATTTATATCATTTCAAATGGCTCGTTCAAGTGTCGGGTCTTGACTCTTGGGGACTCGTGTGTGCTTAGTATTTGATGATAAAGGCAGGCCATCAAGGAAACCAAAGAAGACCCAACTGTGGTGAAAACAATGCAATCACATGTTGGTCTTCTTCACCTGGTGAAGTAGACCAGATGAGCTGCAGAACATATTCAATGGCCACATCCACAGGCTGCGACCTCATCTGTACTGAATGCAGCCAGAAATGGAACCAAGGAAGTGGTCATTGCTCTCTCCCACATTTCAGCCCCTGGCTGTCCACTGGGCGGTGCTTCTCTCTTCAAGTTTGCGGGTCTCTGCTGTGCCATCATGATCTGTGTCAGCTTCTGAACTGAAATCATGCAGGAAATGCCCCTTCTGCACAGGACAGGCAAGCTTGGCGGCATCTCCAGCGTTCTACTGCATCCAGTTTCATTTAGTGTGGAAAATGTCACTATGTTATACACCCCAGGTCTCTCTCCCAATTTCCCATCGAGTTATTTTACTGGAAAGAGAATATTTAATTTGCCAATGATCATCTCTTTTAATTGTTCTGACAACTGACACTCTTTAGTAAAAGGCTAGAGACAAAGTTTGAGAGATACATACATGGAAAGGCAAAGAAACTATGGTACAACAATTTAAACATCTTTTTTATTTGTTTGTTTTTTGAAATAGAGTCTCACTATGTAGATCAGGCTGACCTTGGATTCACTATGTATGGCTGGCCTTGAACCGGTAGCAATTCTCCTGCCTCAGCCTCCCAAGTGCTGGGATTACAGGCATGTGCCACCACACTGACGTAGTTAAAAGCATCTTTTGAAAAGAACAATAATGCTGGAGGATTCACGCTGCGCAATTTCATGACTTACTATGAAGCTGTAGTAATTAACTATGGGGCTAGTAAAAGGCTGGACACACAGACCAATTAACAGAATAGACAGGCTCTGTGCATTTATTATAAATATAATAGATGTTTAATAAAAGTGTCAAGGGGACTCAATGCAGGATGTCTTCTCAACGAGTGATGTTGATACAATTGAATATCCATATGTAATTAAAATCTCAACTAAGACCCAACCATACACAAAGATACAAATTTATTTTGTATTTTACAAATTATTAACTTTTTTGTGATGTTGGCGATCCAAACCCAGACCTTGTGTATGCTAGGTAAACAATGACCACTGAGCTACATCCCCAGCCCTAAAATATTAACTTGAGATGGCAAGGCCACTTTTATAAAAATCAACTGGGAAACGACAAGAGAAATCCAGGAATCTGTGGCAACGCAGCCATCAGTCAGAGGGTCCCAGGTCTTCCAAGCAGAAGTGGGGGAGAATAAGCCGTAGAAAGAGAACTAACAGAGGGCAGAAGCTACATGAGAGTGAAGCTGGCGGATGGGATTTCACATGTGCCAGCTGATCTCATTTTTGAATAACCAAGACACAGAAGGTGCTTCTTTCTATAAAAGTTTGTATGTTTCCTTTCCTTAAGTGAATATTCATGGGAAAAGGCTGGACCAACTACCTGACTTCTGAGTTGTAGCATAAGATTGAAAGGCAGGCCTTTTGTTCTAAAGGTAGGAAGAATCTCTAGCTGGTGACCGGCAATCATTAAACCTGCCTCAGAGCCTTTCTTAGAGGCGGAGCTGTCAAGTTCACAGTTGTGTGGCCCCAAAAACCAGCCCCAGGGCTGGAGGTTGAGCTCTGTGGGGCCAGTGCCTGCCTTGCAAGCACAAGAACTTGAGTTTGATCCCTGCTACCGGAAAAAAAAACATAAAGCACAAAAAGAAAATCCAGCCCCAGTGAGAAGGTGTGGGCCTCTGATACATTTTAAATATAATATTTATCTTGTCCATTTTTCTGCTGACTCATAACACATCATAAAAATATTATTAAGCATCTTCACATTCAAATCTTTGGAGGAGATTCTGTGGCTGTCTAAAAATACACTCTACTGCCTCAGGAAAGTTCTCTAGAGACTGTCTCTCTACTGAAATTCCCAAAGTCCCTTATCTCATAT